ATAACTTTGTACATAAAGTTATTTAGTTCGTCTATTAAGAATCAATTGAGAATTCCATTTCTGATGGAGTAAAATATTTAGCACGTTCAATTGTCTCATTGACACTAGTAGGTCTACTAATGTATAGTGAAGCACATGAATAAGACTTTGCAAAACTTCACATGGATAATTGGTAAATGAATACTGATAGGTGCCGAGCCTATAAAATATCATAACATCTATTAAAAAATGTGTAAATATGAATAAAACAATTGAAATTTTTTTCTAATTGCCAGTTACCATTAAAATAGTTTAATGTCTCATTAATTCTAATGCTCTAATCAATTTTTGATTAGCTAGTTAGTTAAGCATCCTGTGTGAAGTGTTGCCAAGATCTGAGAAATTACTTTTCATGTCACATAAGGTGTGATCTGAGTGCAGTTCAGACGCCATTAGGAGTTAAGGTCTTATCTGCGGCATGTTGATTTTGTTGCATCAGCCTGCAGCACTTATTTAGCACATCAGAAACAATCTGTCAATATATAACAAACAACAATATCTCTACAATTAGTAGAGACTTGAGACATCAATAAAAATACAATGGGCTCTTTTCTTAAAATAATAAAGAACAAGTGACTCATTCTAGCAAATTTCTGCTGAGCGGTTTAGTGATCTTGCTTATGAGTCGTCATTTCCCCAAACCAAGTCAAAGTAGCCTTTTTTTGGGGAGGGGAAGGATGGGGAAAGGGATGAAATCTTAGAGGTCAGATTTTCAGATTGTTTAAATCAGTGTAACCCCTTTGTAATTAATGGAACTATGCCAATTTACTACAACAGTTGATCTGGGTCTGTATCAATATTGAAAGGCAATTAGTGCGGAATTATAAAAACTTGGCCATTTGATTGAGCAATTCACACACCTCGTCAAAGTGCATCAGTATTTTGTATTACATCAGTCTTTTGTTTATATTGAACCTGACTCTAATGATAACAGGAACTATATATGCATAGATATGTTTAAAAGGTTCACTCTGTTGTGTACAGTCTGATAAACCACAGAATGAGATTTTGATACCACATGAAAAGAAAAGAGGGTGAAAGGAGATGAGGAATACCACTTGATGGACACTGATAGGTATTTATTCACCATGACCTAATTCACTGCTTGTTTCTGGAGCCCAGGGCAATGAATAACATATTAAGTGATGCTAGTGTGAAATATGGTTTCTGCTCCAACAGCCATCTTAAGAAATAAACTGCCATTGTATGTAAAGAACATATACAATCTTTCCCTTTTTTCCAGAATCCATTTCACAGTTGCAGATTGTTGCATTATGGTTAGTTACATTAATTCCAGTGTTATTAACTTTCCAAAGCCTAGCACTTTTCTAGTTAGCCTACCACGCGAGTCAGATTCCTCTAATTCCTTATTCTTCTGTTTCTAAGTGTCCATCAGCTACCTATTAATATAATCATGTAGCATATGTGCAATGCACATTTTTATGTCCATCTAGCCTTTTTCAAATACTAACCAGTACTGCTCAACCATTCTTCTTTATATTACAGTGAATGCTAATGAAGGGAAGCCCTTTGTTTTCCAGCAGGACAGCGATAGTGCATGTTTGTGCATGTTGAGGTTGCTGTAATATTTTAGACACATTAGCATGTTTCTTTCATAAAGGAAACAGCAGAAATGTAAAACTGGGAAATATTTACAGATGGGAAGGAAAAATGCGTATAACATTTTTTTTAAAGTGCAATATTAGCATTATGCTCATTTCTTTGTATTCCACAAAACTTTAAATCTAGGTAAATCTGAGATAATGGTTCTGGTGCCCTTTAGGGGTACCGGATAAATATGTATAATATCCATTTAAATTTATTTCTAGATATTTTAGGGAGATGGATGTATTTATGAAGGAATATCTTTATGACTGAGTTTTCTTATAATGGAAAACAAAAAGTTGTCCTCAAGTTAAGAGAACAAGCACGTGCTAAAAAGTAAGCCCTCCTAATCTTCATAAATAAATGAGCTCAGATCAAGTAGTTTGACGTCTACTAAACAAGAACAGGCTGTTTGAAATACAGAATAACTCTTCCCATGGCAGAAAAAGACTGCAAGCGAGTGTACCATTTTAGTATATAAAACACTCTTATTTATCCATGTTTCTGGTAATTTGTTAATGGATTTTTAGATGATCCCAGCTGACCATCTTAAAAAAAAGTTGGACTCAAAATCCCTAGAAAATAATGATACAGGAATGTCACCTGGCTTTAGAAAACATCTGACTTTTGAAATCGTCCATTCTAGATTCCCAACCCAATAGTACATTGAAGATTTGAGAAGTCAGGTTTAAACTGAATGGTTATGTCATACCCACCTGGCCCACACTTACCCATACTTGTCTTCAATGGCACCTGCTGTGATGACCGGGTATGGAACTAGTTGCTATTATGTAGTGTGAAGTGATGGTGCTGATAGAGGAGAGCAGAGGGTAACTGCCACTTGTAACTGCCCTACTGTGGCCTTTCCAGATATGTGAGCACACATTCTACAACTCCTTGTCAGCATCATAAATAGCTTTATTTCCCTTATCCCCTACTATTTGTTTTGCAAGGCTTGGGAAAATCACACATATCCATCTAGAGTAAAAGGTGCTGGCATAGAGTGACAGCTGTAATGTGTTTGCCTGTGGTGCATGGTGGTGGTTCTAGTGGATCACAAGCTGAATATGAGTCAGCAATACGATGCTGTTGCAAAAAAAGCAAACGTGATTCTGGGATGCATTAACAGGTGTGTTGTGAGCAAAACAATTGTTCTAGGATTTAATGGTGCTAGTGACAGGTTCGAGTAAAATGAAAGGCTACAATATTCAGTATTTCAACTATTGATCTAAACCCAGTGTACTTCACATACATACCAGAGAAAACCCAAATTCACTCCTGGAGTATACCTGATGGTTCCCTAACATTTCCTTATACTACCATCCCCTCACCACTCACTTCTATTTATTTTTCTCAGATTTCAGTCACTCTGAGTTGACTTTATTTACCTTCCTGAATGCACTGAGATTCCATGGAGACATGACACAAATTTAAGGGGAAAACTAGGATACAACAAATAACCAGAAATGTTAACAATGAAGTGATCAGCTGTGCAAGGCAACTGTTGGTAAAGACCATTTTTTTAAAGTTTTTTTTTTTTTTTTTTTTTTTAAAGCCAGCACAGAGAGAAAGAGAGAGAAAAGTGAGGAGAGAAAGTGGATGACTGGAGCGGAAAATGAGGGGTACGAAAAAAGGATTTAAATATATTCAGGTGATTAACCTTTCAGTAGACTTAGAACATTATTTTTGCCTTTTTTGAAATTAAAATAGTTAATATTACATTTAAAATGTACAAGACTAACAAGATTGAAGACACATTTTAATAATTAGGCATTATCACTTTCCTAAGATAACTAATCCTAATGCCAGTAGTGTCTTTTGAATTGACTTGCTATAAACACCTCTGTTTCCACCTTGCCAGAAGATGGTGTGCTTATTTTTTGCACAAAAGTATAACCTCTTAAATAATAAACATTTATTTACAAAGATGCCTAGAGGCCTCAAACTGGATAAGGGTCACATTGGATGCTAGGTGCTGTACAAATGTATAAGACAAGGTAGCCCCTGACTTGGAGGGTTTGCAGTTTAAGGCTCAAATCTGCATACTTATACATATGATCAAAACCCTTTTTTGTGCAGAACCCACTGCAGCCACACCAGGGCCTAATTTAAGATAAGAAACAAGTGGGTATTGCATACAAATGAAAAGAACATGGGGGGAAACTCACAATTAATAATGACTATTTGATCTGAGGAAGTGGGTCTGGCCCACGAAAGCTCATCATCTAATAAACCATCTTGTTAGTCTTTAAAGTGCTACATTGTCCTGCATTTTGCTTCAATTAATAAGATGCTTTGAATACTTTTTCCTTTCCTATATTTGTAATTGCCAGATCTTTTGAGTAATAATTAGGGCTGTCAATTGACATACATTAATGCATGTGATTAATGCAGTCCAGGATTAACGTGTTAAATTTTTTAATGCGTTAATCACAGATGTTAATGCTGCGCTGTCCCTTTGAAATGCCACTACAGTGCTTCAAAAAGGCAGCACAACACGGAGCCCAGGATCAGCTGGGCACTGTCCAGCTGATCCCGGGTTCCACTGCCCCTTTGAAACACACAGAGGCAGCATTTCAAAGGGGCAGCTGCCTCTCAGCAGAGCCGGGGATTAGTTGTGCGGCGGCTGCCTCTTAGAAAAGCTGCCTCCGCATGTTTCAAAGGGGCAGTGGCAGTGCCCAGCTGACCCCGGGCTCCACACGGCATTTCCCCAGAACCCAGGATCAGCTGGGGCATCATGCAATTCTTGTATTCACGAACAGGGGAAACTCAAGTAGAATTAGACTATTTCCTCTGTATTTGGCAGTTGTGTGACAGCTGCTGCAATATCGTACCCAGTTCCATTGTTTCCAATTCAAGGAGGATATAGATAAGTTGGAGAGGGTTCAGAGAAGAGACATGAAAATGAATAAAGGAGTAGAAAACTTGTCTTATAGACTCAAGAGCTCAATCCATTTAGTTTAATAAAGAGAAAATCTAGAAAAATCAAGAAGTAACTTGATTACAATCTGTAAGTAATTTCATGGGAACAAATAATTAATAATGAACTCATCAGTCTAGCAGAGAAAGATATAACAGCTGGGCAGAGCCTTAATTCCACACTCTTCCCCACTGACATAGCTCCATGCGTACTGAAGAGAATAGATTGCAACAAGCTTACATACAGCATAGTTTATTCCTGCTTCAGAGTAGCAGGGATATTTGGATGGATATTAGTGACTTGGAGATTTTCCCCTTCTCTTCATAGGGGCTATTCCAGAGGCATCAATACATGCTGCCCCTTGCTTGGCAATAAACTGCAATATCACCATCCAGTCTTTACATATTGACATGCATTTCAAAAGTAGCCAGCTTACCATTGCTTCAGCTGTGTTCTGTTTCTCCACTAGTTTGTTATCCCCAGCACTTTCTTCTGATCGGCAGCTATTCTCTGATTTCTGATTTAGAAGAGAGGATGATTTTTTATTTTTAAGTAAGTGTTTCAGCAGCTCATTCCCTGACTCCCCCTTGGTTGCAGGGGTGCTGGTCGATTGTGGTGGACTCTGTGCTGAAGAGGCAGGGTGTAGTGTGGCCTTGTCTTCTATCATAATACCACTCTGATTTTCTGTTTTAGGCTCAGCTTGGCCAGAACATTGATCAGATTCAGCCTTTTCCAGTTTAATTTCCTGAATGCTGGCTGGAGAATCTGTCTTACCCTGTTCAGTCTCAGGATTGACACTCGATTTCTGGGGAAATTTCTTTTGGAGCAAGCCACTATTGAAATGCTTACATTCCAGCTCTAAGGAAGGCTGGTTCTCTGCAGTATTTGTTGTTGATGAGCCTGTTAGCTCTGCTGACTCCAGCTCATTCTGATGACGAATAAGTTCACTAGGTGTGCTAACTGTTGGGGTAGAGGTAGAATCTGAAACAGCTGGAGTAGGAGGTGCAGTTATATCCGAATGTGGAGTTGATGGTGCTTTTATTGACTCAGCATCATCATCCTTTTTCTTTTTTCGTGTCCTTTTCTTTTTCCCTTTCTCTTCCGGAATTATATCAGAGTACAGCTGAATAAGAGACTGACTTGACCCAGGAAAATTTGGTGCATGGGGTGTGCTGGTGTCTTGGCCACAGGAAAGACCACTACCAGCTGCTGGAGGCACAACAGGTATACCAGGCGCAAATGGAGGCCTGACTTGGTTCTGTGCAAAGCTGGTCCCAGAGATACCCCCATGGGATTGTTTTACAGAATGGAAGTTAGGGGATCCACCAGGAATTGAAGGTGGCTCGGGTCCAAAAGAGGTAGGCCCCAGTGGTCTTCGCTCACTGCTTTGCATAAAATTTACAGCAGGTGGTGAGTTCACAGGGCCTTGTTGCAAAACTTGCCCTATTTGCTGCTGCTGCTGCTGTGGAGACTGCTGAAGAGGACGCGGAGGCTGCATGAAATCACAGGGTAGGTCAGAGTTAAAGAAAGGTATCTGAGACAAGGAAGCTCTGTTATTTAATTCTGACCCTATCATGCCATGTTGTTCCATTTCCATCCTCTGCAGAGCCCTCTGTCGGTCCACCTCCTGCATTAGCTGTATTCGTTGCCGTTCCTGCTGCTCTCGCAAACGTTCCTTTCGCTCCCGCTCTTGAAAACTTTCACTAAATGGATTATTATCATCAAATTCAACCCTTGGTGGTGGCCCTGACTGTGCATTTGCATTGGAACCTGGCACTGGAGTTGGGGTGCCAGGATTCATTGGTAACTGTGTCATTGGAGGTTGCATCCTTGGAGCATTGAGGGGGATGTGATTTGGAGGAGCAGGTGCAGGTTGCCATCCAGGTAAGTTTGGCATTCTGGCTGGGTTGGATTGCCCAGGAATTACAACTGTGTGCTGCTGATGCTGGAGTTGTTGTGCGACTATGGGGAAATTTTGCTGATTCATTGCTGGTGGTGTTCCTCCTGGAACCATAGATGGCTGAGACTGGACGCCTGGCATTATAGCATGCGGTGTTATCCCACATTGCTGCTGCTGCTTGATTCGATATTCCTCAATGAGCTCTGCATGTTCCTTTTGCTGTTTTCGAATCTGAAATGTAGACGAGTCATTACTCATCTTTACAAGGTTCTACTTAATATACAAGACTCAAATATACAGAATATACTACATGGAAATTATTTGTATTGGAAAATATGGCTTGCCCAAGATTAGCATTGGAACACATTAAGCTTATTTACTTATCATTTCATATCCAATATCTGTCATTGGCTACTGTTGGAAGACAGGACACTGGGCTAGATGGATCTTTGGTCTGACCCAGTATGACTGTTCTTATGCACTTATGTCATCTAAACAGAAAGAGTGCAATTCTCTCAAATGCCAATTTCCATGCTATTAACGGACTACACAAAAAATGACCTTTGTATTAAATGTACAATGGGAGCTTGATTGCAATGGCCAGAGGCACTGGTGCTCAATCCTGGAACTAGCAAAGCACTCTTTGGCTTCCAGGCCCTGATTTAGTGATACATTTAAGCACATACTTAAATTTAAACATATTTGAGTTATACCCGCCTCCCACAACGCTGCCCCCTCCTTGTAACTGGCTCTGTTCCTGTTCCTCTACCAATGGGCTCCAGTCCTGCTGCCACAGATCTTGGGTCTGGCCTGCTGCCTCTGGCTGGCTGGGCTCCCCTCCCCCCCGGGACAGAGCTTCCCAGCCACCATGGCCCCACTTTTCTCCTGCCGAGCTGGGGCTCTCCAGCGATGGGGCTTGCCAGCTGCCCTGCTTCTGCTGTGCCCCACCAGGGCTCTCCGATGATGGGGCTCACTGACTGCTGCCCCACCCGGCCAGGGCTCCTCAGGAATGGGGCTCCTAGCTGGTGTGCACTCCTGGGCACCTGGGCTCTATGGTCCAGCAATATCTGTGGTCCGTTGCCAGACCAGAGAGTCCCGGATTTAGGAGATTCAACATGTACTAAATTAAACTGTAATAAAAGGCGGCATTCAAACAGTAAAATAAAAAACAACTGGCTATTGCAAAAGTGCATCTGGTGATATGATAAAATATGAGAGAAAAATCGTAATCAATGGATTTCGTCAGTGGAAATATGGCTCAGCATTTCAAGATGTCCCTATTCTTATCTAATGGACAGTGCATCTGAATCTTGCATCCAGATCCTTCATAAACTGTAGCTTTCCTTTGCACTGCTGCCACCCAATTTCTCTCTTCTCAAACTTTTCAAAGAGGTTTTTTATTTCCCACTAGTACTGTAATATTTTTTCTGGCAGCTCCAGTAGTGCTGAGAAATTGAATATTATAACTGACATTACTCATGTGAAACATGAGAGGTTTTGTTGTTTATTTTTACATGAATTGCACTATGTTTAATAGTTACAATTAGAACTGTCAATCATAGTTATCTCACGCAATTAAACCAAATTAATTCAATTAAAATTGTGAGTAAGCGCAGTTTTTATTACACTGTTAAACAATAATAAAATACCAATTGAAATTTATTATAAATATTTTGGATGTTTTTCTACATTTCAATTACAGCACAAAATATACAAAGTGTATAGTGCTCACTTGATATTATCTTTATTACAAATATTTGCACTGTAAATAAGATAAACAAAAGAAACAGTATTTTTCAATTTATCTCATTCAAGTACTGAAATGCATGCTCTTATCATGAAAGTACAACTTACAAATGTAGAATTTTTTTTACATAATTTCACTCAAAAACAAAACATTATAAAACTTCAGAGCCTACAAGTCCACTTAGTTCTACTTCTTGTACAGCCAATCGCGAAGACAAACACATTTGTTTACATTTATGAAAAATAATGCTGCTTACTACTTATTTACAATGTCTCTTCAAAGTGAGAACAAGTTTTTGCATGGCACTGTTGTAGCCAGTGTTGCAAGGTATTTATGTGCTACATATGCTAAACATTTGTATACCTTTTCATGTCCTGATCTGTAGTTTTTTACAGTGCAAATATTTGTAATAAAAATAATGTAAAGTGAGGACTCTCCACTTTGTATTCTGTGTTGTAACTGAAATGAATATATTTGAAAATGTATAAAAACATCCAAGATACGTTTAATATATTTAAATTGGTATTTTATTATTAACAGTGCAATTAAAATAGCAATTAATTTTTTCAATCATTTGACCACCCTTGTTACAAAGCATATCTAGCAAATTTAGAGAAATAAGTCATCTTACATCTTAATATTAATCAGAAAAAATGCTGTCCTATTATTCCTCTGCCCCACCCCAACTGGTTACCTGTTCTAGCTGTTTTTGGACCATACTCTGCTGCTCGGTAACATGCTTAAGCTGTTCTGCATCTTCTTCTGGGAATTCACGGCCAGCTTTTTTGGCAGTACGTTGTTTTGCTGAGAGCGCTTTTTTTGATTTTCTGTGCACGCCAATTTGCTCTTCCAGGTATTTCTGTTGCATTTGAAGAAGTTGTTGTGTTTCTTGAAGCCATTCTTCATATTGCTTTCTTTGTGAATCATCTGGGGGGTGGGAAAAAGTAAATATTTGACCACTGATATTATACTAAGGACTCTTATTTTAAATGGAGGCCCCAGTGGCTACTCTGCAGCATAGCTCTCCCCTGTGGGCTCACTGCCCCAAGTGGCCACTCACATATTGCAACCCTTTGAACAGTAGCCCCTTTGCATGTTATGGAAAACTGTCCCTTTCCTGGGGCTTCTGGTTGTCCTAGCACAAGCAAACCCCGCCCTTGTTTTAAATTAAGAGAAGAGGAAGCTGCATACCACACTTAGTAGCCCTAATTCTTACTGTTTAGGAGGAGTTCTTAAACAAGTGGACATGCAGACAGACACAAAGATAGACACACTCTAAAATACATATCTAAATACACTGGGGGCAAACAGGAAGTAAGTGGGAAAAAACTATGGAAAAAGGAAAGGAAACTAGATTTATCATTGCTGGAAGCTAACCCCAATGAACAGAAAATTATTTGCATTTCTGGACTTTGGGTATTGCTGTTCTCTGTTCATAAGAAAAAGGCCAGGAAAGTGGGAAGGTGAGGGAATAAGCCCCCTAACTGCCAAGTCAGGGAACAGGACCAGTTCTCTCATATGATAGTACTGAGGCAATAGACAGACAAACCAGAAAAACAGGGACAGAACTCCATCACACATTTTTTCCAGATATTCTTATGATGTACAATGTTTTTGGCACAACCAGGTCTTCCCTTGTACTCTGATATACACTGTGCTCTATCTTAGCTGCCACAACATTGCAGAATCTAGTGACTCAATTTTTACAGCTATCTACACTCTCGAGGGACACCTTGATTCCATCACTGCTAGATTAGTATCTGTATCTAATAATACAGTCCAAAGAGACACCACAGTGGAAATGTTACAGTGTTTATTTGTGACTATGGAGAGAAAATGTTTGGCTCAGGAAAGTCAGATTGAACATACTGAAATATTAACATGCCCTAATTAAGGGTAACTGCTTGTTGCATCAAAAAAAAAGAAAAAAAAAAAAAAAAGCCACCCAGAAAGTGGGATTTTCAAAAGTGCTCAATATTGGCCCAGATCTGTTCTCATTATAGTTAAATCAATGAAGACACTACTGAAAATCCCCCCAGAAAGTCTAGCAAACCTGAATAAAATTTCTAACTGCATTTTGTGCGTTGGGCCACCAATGTATGGAGAGGGGGGAATCTAGCTACTTCTGTTTTGTTATTGAATACTTAGGGAGACTTTTTGCAGACATAAAATCTTCTAAGGTTATGTAAAAAATCGTTCAGTATTTAAATCTAAAGTTAAATCTCATGATAGAATATAAGGGCTACAGTGTGTCTGGGGGAAAATGAAATATTAGGTGTACCAAATAAAACAGATACATGTTTCCAATATTTTTAAAATCACCAATTCTGAATATATAAAATTGTTCTTCCTTTAGGCAGAAGTTTCTGCTCTTAGTTTTTCTGGTTTTCTTTTAAGCTTTACTGAATTAAATTTCCAACCTTTTTTTTAATTTATGTTACAAAAACCTATTTGATTCTTAAATTAAAAATAACTTGTGTTATTGTGGATAACTATTCCAATACAGATCAAGCTAAATCATTATTAGATTTTTCAGATAGTGGATTATAGTTTAATATATAATTAATTACTACTCTTTTGCCATTGGAAAATACTAATTATGTGATTAATATTTCATATTCATCTTTCCTCATATTTTTGAGGACTTTCAGACCAAATGTTATTATGAAGTGTTGATTTTTTAAAAAGTTTGCCCCACCAGGGCTCTCCGATGATGGGGCTCACTGACTGCTGCCCCACCCGGCCAGGGCTCCTCAGGAATGGGGCTCCTAGCTGGTGTGCACTCCTGGGCACCTGGGCTCTATGGTCCAGCAATATCTGTGGTCCGTTGCCAGACCAGAGAGTCCCGGATTTAGGAGATTCAACATGTACTAAATTAAACTGTAATAAAAGGCGGCATTCAAACAGTAAAATAAAAAACAACTGGCTATTGCAAAAGTGCATCTGGTGATATGATAAAATATGAGAGAAAAATCGTAATCAATGGATTTCGTCAGTGGAAATATGGCTCAGCATTTCAAGATGTCCCTATTCTTATCTAATGGACAGTGCATCTGAATCTTGCATCCAGATCCTTCATAAACTGTAGCTTTCCTTTGCACTGCTGCCACCCAATTTCTCTCTTCTCAAACTTTTCAAAGAGGTTTTTTATTTCCCACTAGTACTGTAATATTTTTTCTGGCAGCTCCAGTAGTGCTGAGAAATTGAATATTATAACTGACATTACTCATGTGAAACATGAGAGGTTTTGTTGTTTATTTTTACATGAATTGCACTATGTTTAATAGTTACAATTAGAACTGTCAATCATAGTTATCTCACGCAATTAAACCAAATTAATTCAATTAAAATTGTGAGTAAGCGCAGTTTTTATTACACTGTTAAACAATAATAAAATACCAATTGAAATTTATTATAAATATTTTGGATGTTTTTCTACATTTCAATTACAGCACAAAATATACAAAGTGTATAGTGCTCACTTGATATTATCTTTATTACAAATATTTGCACTGTAAATAAGATAAACAAAAGAAACAGTATTTTTCAATTTATCTCATTCAAGTACTGAAATGCATGCTCTTATCATGAAAGTACAACTTACAAATGTAGAATTTTTTTTACATAATTTCACTCAAAAACAAAACATTATAAAACTTCAGAGCCTACAAGTCCACTTAGTTCTACTTCTTGTACAGCCAATCGCGAAGACAAACACATTTGTTTACATTTATGAAAAATAATGCTGCTTACTACTTATTTACAATGTCTCTTCAAAGTGAGAACAAGTTTTTGCATGGCACTGTTGTAGCCAGTGTTGCAAGGTATTTATGTGCTACATATGCTAAACATTTGTATACCTTTTCATGTCCTGATCTGTAGTTTTTTACAGTGCAAATATTTGTAATAAAAATAATGTAAAGTGAGGACTCTCCACTTTGTATTCTGTGTTGTAACTGAAATGAATATATTTGAAAATGTATAAAAACATCCAAGATACGTTTAATATATTTAAATTGGTATTTTATTATTAACAGTGCAATTAAAATAGCAATTAATTTTTTCAATCATTTGACCACCCTTGTTACAAAGCATATCTAGCAAATTTAGAGAAATAAGTCATCTTACATCTTAATATTAATCAGAAAAAATGCTGTCCTATTATTCCTCTGCCCCACCCCAACTGGTTACCTGTTCTAGCTGTTTTTGGACCATACTCTGCTGCTCGGTAACATGCTTAAGCTGTTCTGCATCTTCTTCTGGGAATTCACGGCCAGCTTTTTTGGCAGTACGTTGTTTTGCTGAGAGCGCTTTTTTTGATTTTCTGTGCACGCCAATTTGCTCTTCCAGGTATTTCTGTTGCATTTGAAGAAGTTGTTGTGTTTCTTGAAGCCATTCTTCATATTGCTTTCTTTGTGAATCATCTGGGGGGTGGGAAAAAGTAAATATTTGACCACTGATATTATACTAAGGACTCTTATTTTAAATGGAGGCCCCAGTGGCTACTCTGCAGCATAGCTCTCCCCTGTGGGCTCACTGCCCCAAGTGGCCACTCACATATTGCAACCCTTTGAACAGTAGCCCCTTTGCATGTTATGGAAAACTGTCCCTTTCCTGGGGCTTCTGGTTGTCCTAGCACAAGCAAACCCCGCCCTTGTTTTAAATTAAGAGAAGAGGAAGCTGCATACCACACTTAGTAGCCCTAATTCTTACTGTTTAGGAGGAGTTCTTAAACAAGTGGACATGCAGACAGACACAAAGATAGACACACTCTAAAATACATATCTAAATACACTGGGGGCAAACAGGAAGTAAGTGGGAAAAAACTATGGAAAAAGGAAAGGAAACTAGATTTATCATTGCTGGAAGCTAACCCCAATGAACAGAAAATTATTTGCATTTCTGGACTTTGGGTATTGCTGTTCTCTGTTCATAAGAAAAAGGCCAGGAAAGTGGGAAGGTGAGGGAATAAGCCCCCTAACTGCCAAGTCAGGGAACAGGACCAGTTCTCTCATATGATAGTACTGAGGCAATAGACAGACAAACCAGAAAAACAGGGACAGAACTCCATCACACATTTTTTCCAGATATTCTTATGATGTACAATGTTTTTGGCACAACCAGGTCTTCCCTTGTACTCTGATATACACTGTGCTCTATCTTAGCTGCCACAACATTGCAGAATCTAGTGACTCAATTTTTACAGCTATCTACACTCTCGAGGGACACCTTGATTCCATCACTGCTAGATTAGTATCTGTATCTAATAATACAGTCCAAAGAGACACCACAGTGGAAATGTTACAGTGTTTATTTGTGACTATGGAGAGAAAATGTTTGGCTCAGGAAAGTCAGATTGAACATACTGAAATATTAACATGCCCTAATTAAGGGTAACTGCTTGTTGCATCAAAAAAAAAGAAAAAAAAAAAAAAAAGCCACCCAGAAAGTGGGATTTTCAAAAGTGCTCAATATTGGCCCAGATCTGTTCTCATTATAGTTAAATCAATGAAGACACTACTGAAAATCCCCCCAGAAAGTCTAGCAAACCTGAATAAAATTTCTAACTGCATTTTGTGCGTTGGGCCACCAATGTATGGAGAGGGGGGAATCTAGCTACTTCTGTTTTGTTATTGAATACTTAGGGAGACTTTTTGCAGACATAAAATCTTCTAAGGTTATGTAAAAAATCGTTCAGTATTTAAATCTAAAGTTAAATCTCATGATAGAATATAAGGGCTACAGTGTGTCTGGGGGAAAATGAAATATTAGGTGTACCAAATAAAACAGATACATGTTTCCAATATTTTTAAAATCACCAATTCTGAATATATAAAATTGTTCTTCCTTTAGGCAGAAGTTTCTGCTCTTAGTTTTTCTGGTTTTCTTTTAAGCTTTACTGAATTAAATTTCCAACCTTTTTTTTAATTTATGTTACAAAAACCTATTTGATTCTTAAATTAAAAATAACTTGTGTTATTGTGGATAACTATTCCAATACAGATCAAGCTAAATCATTATTAGATTTTTCAGATAGTGGATTATAGTTTAATATATAATTAATTACTACTCTTTTGCCATTGGAAAATACTAATTATGTGATTAATATTTCATATTCATCTTTCCTCATATTTTTGAGGACTTTCAGACCAAATGTTATTATGAAGTGTTGATTTTTTAAAAAGTTTAAAGATTTTTTCTTTTGTTATTAATGAATGATTACGAAATGGTTAAATTTAAATAAATTAGAGAATTAGTGTAGTTTGCCAAAATATTCTCCTATGAAGTATTCGTGTGTGTGATATACTTAAAAAAGAAACTGCAATATGAAACCTCACATTCATATACACAACATTACAAGATTTATACTTACTAACAAAACCAGGACCAAAATTTGGAGGAGTAGGCCTTGCAATCTGAGGTGTCAAACTTCCATCCTAAAAATAAAAATGTATAAACAAAGTGATTAAAATCACAAATCATTTTAAGAAGAAAATAAAATATTCACCATTTAAAAATACTTCTGCTGTAACTCATAACAAGTTATGTTACCTGTGTGATTGCTTGCGGCATAAGATTCTGGCCTTCACTAGTCTGTGTTCCTGGCATTGGCTGACCCATAAAGGGAAACCTATTGATACATAAAGATCAATTATAACAGATTTTCAAAACTGGTGAGCACCTTAGTACAGATAAATTGTTTCAAATTATTTCAGCCTAAAACAAAAAAATTCCAAACCTTTTAGACAGATTTGTTTTAACTACTACAGTACAACTCGAATTGTCAGGCATCCAGTGGTCTGGCACTCCTGATAGTCTGGCACTAACTGGAACCCAGAAGTGCTCCAGCCAGCCGGACAATTGGAGCTGCCCAGGGGTGGCGGCGGCAAGGGGGTGAGAGGCAGGCAGCTGTTTAAGGCAGCGGGAGAGGGGGTGCAGCGAGGGGCGAACCCTCTGCCGTGTTGCGGGGAGGCAGTGGAAGCCCTGCACAGCTGGCTTGCAAGCAGGGAAACTCAGCCACTGGCTTGTAAGTGGCGGCGGCGGAGAGGGGGCAAGAGGCAGGCAGTGTTCCCCGCCTTAAACTGGCTGATCACTGGTTCATTCTCCTGCACATCTACTAAAGTAATATATGCCATCATGTGCCAACAATGCCCCTCTGCTATATACATCGGTCAAACTGGACAGTCCCTACATAAAAGAATAAATGGACACAAATCAGATATTAGGAATGACAATACACAAAAACCTGTAGGAGAACACTTCAATCTCCCCGGACACACAATTGCAGATCTAAAGGTAGCCATCCTGCAGCAAAAAAACTTCAAGACCAGACTTAGAAAAGAAACCGCTGAGCTACAGTTCATCTTCAAGTTTGACACCATCAGCTCAGGATTAAACAAAGACTGTGAATGGCTAGCTAACTACAAAAGCAGCTTCTCCTCTCTTGGTATTCACACCTCCAGATCAGCTACTAGAAGTGGGCCTCATCCTCCCTGACTGGATTCACCTCGTTATCTCTAGCCTGATTCTGGCCTGCATATTTATATCTGCCTTTGGAAATTTCCACTACATGCATCTGACGAAGTGGGTCTTCGCCCATGAAATCTTATGCTCCAATACATCTGTTAGTCTATAAGGTGCCACAGGACTCCGCGCTGCTTTTGCAGATTCAGACTAACACGGCCACCCCTCTGATACTTAAAACTAGGGATGTAATAGTGTAGTCGGTTAATCAATAAGCAAAAGCTTATAGGTTAATGCTATAGACTACACATATTTCCCCCACACCACCAGTAAATTTTTTAGCAGCCTGGCCAAGTCCTGGCTTGTGATGGGTTTGGGACCTACCCCCCACCGCGACTCTGCATTTAAAGCGTTATTAGGAGGTAGGCGGGAAGGCAGCTCAGACTTCGTTCCAGCTCACGCCGGGTACAGGAGCTCAGACCCCCATCCTCTGGACAGGGGTTGCTGTCACCCCTGTATCAGAAGCAGCAGCATGGGGAAACAGGCCGTTGGCCCGTAAGGGGAGCTGGTTTTTAAACAGGGTCCCCTCGAGGACTAGCTCCCACCTGGCGCCCCACGCTGCTGTCTCTAATACAGAGGCAGCAGCACTAAGTGACAGGCGGCTCCTTTGGAGTGGGGCTGGAGCGCACTGGCTGCCAACCTCGCCCCTGGGGACTATAGAATAGTCAAGTAACCAATAAGAATTCAAGAGATTACTCAACCATTCAATTAACCAATATTTAACATCCCCAATTTAAACCCAGGTAGGATTACCATGCCTCCAAGGAATTTGGGGCATGGAAGTGGACTGTACCTGGCAAGGATCGTGAGTAAATAAAGGGAAATGTGTATTTAGTTGTGAGTAGGGTTATTTTTCTTTATTGTTGTGGTTTGGTTTGAACTGCTCTGTGTGAATCCATGCCTCCTCTCCCCCATTCACCATCTAAGAGTTGTTCCCAGAGATTTTCTCGGTTTTAATTTGTTTTACTCAGTTGTTCTGTAACACCCAGCAATCAAGTATGCTTTATCAAGTATATCTTCTGTTTTGTAATAAAAATCACTTTTTACGGTGATTATTTGATTCTTGTGTCCTGGAAAGTAACAGGAGGGAGGGAGGGAGGGGTGTGTGTGTGTGTGTGTGTGTGTGTGTGTGTGTGTGTGTGTCTGTCTGTGTGTCTGTCTGTTTGTGT